CCTGACCAAGAGGCCGGTACCATGGGTGAATGGAGCGTTGAAGAACACATCACACCATGAGCCCCAGTTGAAGTTGCGAGCGCATACTGCAAAGAAGAACGAGGAGGACTCTTGTTTGTTCATCGAGATTATGGCGTGAGATGTGCAGATTATGGATTCAGAGCGTTTATGGACTATGGAAATGTGGCCTACCACGACTACATTCAATATCTACTGACGCCTGATGAATAATATCAGACCATCTTCATGCTCGACAACAAAGACAAGGTGACAAACTCTGAGTTCGCAGGTGACATCGTGGAATTTTGGTTGGATGTATTTGAATTGGCCGGTATCTTTCGGAACTCCTTGTTCAGCGATTGGAGCTGCATTGATGAGCGCATTCACCTTCTATGCATCAAGCCGGAGAAGCGTTACCGACGATTCAAAGAGGAACAACACTCCGTGCTGCTACCCTTCAGTAGACGAGAGACAAGAGATATCCAAGATGGAAGCCAGATATCCAAAACCAGAGTTCATAACACGGATGATGCCACTTGAAGCAGCACCACCCAAAAGAGAAGAGGGAGACAAGAAGGAAGATGAACCAATGGAAGAAGAGGAACAGCCTCATTCTACAACTCCCAAAGAGCCTGAAACAGACCCTGTGTCGCCAGAGGTCGATCCTATATGGACTACAAAGATGGCGAAGGGAGATCGGTATCACCAACAGCAACATGGACAAATCCACCATATTCAGGACCATTCACGCCCAAAGAAAATGAACCACCTTCATCACCTTGGAAGAAAACATACGACAATGTTCAAAGGGTGAAGAAGAGGGCTCAAGAGATGAAGATTTGCTTCTGTTGTGCGTCCGATGCTCATACGTTGGCAACGTGTGACAATGAGAACTTCAGGGAATACAAAAAGGAGATCATAAAGTACTTTGAACACATCGAGGGAACGCTCAAGTACAACTTCACGGACCACGGGGAGGCGATCATCAAAAGAGATCAAGCTGAAAGAGAAAAGAAAAGAGCAAAGACTAAACACAATGACGATGACGAAGACGTGGAGATGGAGGACATTGAGAGGAGGTTGAAGACTTGGGCAAGGAGTCACTGACCCCTCGATCCAAGAAACATTCTGAGTCAAGATCGTCTGGCAATGATGATGACTATGTGAAAGCCGTCGAGTCCATAGTGGACGAAGTGGAAGGAGGCGAATTCAAAGTCATCAACAAGGCAATCGATGTATCAGGACCACCGGATGCCAGAGCACTTGAAGGCGCGTTGACAAAAGCCCACTCATTGAGTTCAAGACTGCCGAAAGTGGAGCATCTGACGGTCGATGAATCGCAAGCGAACAAAGTCACGTATCGACAGATCCATGCAGGTTGCGACCGAGGCAACATCGCGATGTCCCACAACATGGAGCTGCCTTTTGCGTCAAGATGTGGAACGGCTTGGAAGAATCATCGGGGAGGTCCACTGAACCACCTGTCAGCGATCCAGGATTCTACATCCGAAAGGACACCGATGACTACATCACGGTCAATGACATCAGCAGGAGGCTCAACAAAGTACTGAGACACCAGACCGGGAAAGCAACAGCGGAAGGACTCAGGGAGGCAACATGATATTCTTCCACGCAACGAAGGGGGATGGGTGAACATCAGGGACGTTCTCATGTACGGACATATCTTTGGAGACAACAGCAATCGAGTCACAAGAACTGCAATTCAACGGAACTACTTGGAAGATATCCTCTCTGTCAGATACCGATGATGCTGTCAAGCAATGTGGTACTCAAAGAAGTCGCAAAACCGAGTCAGATTCCAGATTGCAGCAGTTCGCGCGTCACCAAGTGATGTCACAAAGGCCGAGCAGAGAGAGTATTGGGAAAAGAACCGCAAAGTGCCACATGATGCAAGATACTACAGAGAACACGACAGATGGATGATGCCGGTTGCCATGAGATCTGTTTCATCACACAATTTGGAATCGAGGCATACAGACAAGAATGAGAACGATGTCATCCTCAACCCGCGCCTCACGTCACATGAGATTGTAGATGAGATAGCGATCCAACTTGGCAGAAGCTTTCATGTCACAACATTAGCAAAGCTGCCGTCCATTGTGAAATACGGGCTATTGCCAGGAGGAGACAAGGGAACAAGAGGAAGTTCATTCTTCAATCACTACGCACCTTGGGGCGTGAGAGCATCAACGGTTTTGAGATCAAAAGCCCCGACGGATGATGTTCCCATTGTTCTATATGTGCCAATTGCATATCTTCAACGTCTTGCCGAAAGCTCCTATGTGGTTGTGTTCCAGGGAGTGCCGTGGGAATGTATCAAGAGTGCATGGTACAAAGAACCAGTCCAAGGAAAATGGAGAAGATTGTTGGCAAAGGGGGTCGTGCGCGAACCACCTGATAGCGGCATCAAGATACTCAAACAAGATAGCAACAAAGGATCAGGTTGTCGAGAGGGCAAAGCAAGTTATTGCCGAATGCACAAGGAGAGATGACAACATCCGAAGGCTCGATAAACTCGTCAACAATGGAGACCTCAAGGGGACAAAACAGGGGCCATGGAATGTGATCATCGCCAGAGCTTGGGAAGGCTACAACAGTGTTGATGGAAACATCGTATGCCCTGCGTGCATGAATGTAACACCGAACATCCTTACCTTATGCCTACACTGTCATGGACGTTTCTTCAGTTGCGGAAGCAGGAATACTGTCTCCACAGACACAGTCATTGAGATCGATGATGACGATGAGGAAGCGGAGAAGAAAGGTGATCCTGAAGCAAAGGAAACAAGCGATACTGACAAAGAGGAACAAGAGATCATCGACAAGGCAAAGATGGAAAATGGCGGTTCAATCGCACATCGAACCCAATGATTGAAGAAGAAGAAATCAGCCAAGAGCACATCGAAGACTTCATGAAGAAGAAAGATCTAGAGTCCAAAAGGGAAGAAGGCTGCGAGCTATTCACCCCAACCTTTGACGTTGGTGAAGTGGATTATGAACGTGATTCCCAATCTCCAGAAGTCGAAGAAGTCATCGATGAGCAAGATGCTATCAATAAGAGCACAGCTGAGTTCAATACAACATCAGATAGGGTGGTAGAAGAAGTTGAAGCAGAAGATCAAGACACCAAACTTGATGATGAGAGGAATGACGATGATGACTACGGAAGAGAAGGACCGAAATCCTATCATCCCGATGAACATCTCGCCAATCACGAACTTCCGAAATGGTGTAGATACCCGGAGCCAGTTGCTTTTGACCCCCAAGACGAAGCTGGTTGCCAAGACGCGATCACAGGATCATCAGGACACATGGATAGATACCTTGTTCGACGCATGGCACAAATAATCAAGCCGATGCACACCTCGCACCATCAGACTGGCATCGTCAGTTTCCGTGAGCTCTTCTCAAAGAAAAGATTGGACGTGATGTCTGACTTCACCAATGGGGTACATAATGGGTTTGATGACGACGACATGCCCAAGGATCCGACAGAAGGACAAACGCAAGAATTTGCAAGGTGGAAGAAGGTCACCACGGAAGAAGCATGGTACATGCTGAGGAGAGAGCAGATGCTGGGAAAGTTTGCGTTGCAAGAAGGGATTGCTGTTGGATACACACCGGAGAGCTTCAAGAAAGAATTTGTCAAAACAGACAAGCCACCACCAGGCACAAAACCATCTTTGGTAGAGTCCAGCAAGAAAGCAAAACAAGAAGCTATGTCAAGGATGATCAGGAAGTGCGTGAACACGATCTACAGCGTCAACTCGTATTCCTATTCCAGGAACGACCTGAACGACAACAGTGTGCGCAAGTGCATCAATCCTCTACACGTCCTATACCCCAGACCACAAAACAAGTGGGGCAAGGTCATGATTCTGGCAATGGACCAAGCCAAGATTGCCCTCTTACCCGCAGCACAGGACGCCTGGACGAAGATGACAAGTCACCATGACCGCAAGCACTAGATCGACGGCAGAGCGTCTTGGACAAGGATCAGATCCAGAAGTTGATGGACAGATACCACAAGGTTGCGCCTGAGGTTGAGAAAGCACCATCTGAAACAGCTTCATCAAGCTATCGTGCACAGACACGTGAAAGAGAATATGATCGAAAAGGAGAAGGAAAAGGAAAGATCTATGGTCATGCCGATCGACGGACATGGGAGCAAACCAACAACTATGCTCGTGACTGGAAGCCAGCAGCTATTAACAGGAACAGTTATGGTGCAACATTCCGTGACGCTATATGGTTGCATCCAAGACACCGACGTGATCCGGGACACTGGAATGAACCATACTGGAATCCAAACATAAGGACAACACAGAGAAGCTGGCAAGAATGGGATCAAGATCGTGGAGAGGAACGATACGCACATGGTGGAACAAGGCTAGTGTACGACGCTTGACCTTGAAGCCGTAAGTGTATCTGCATGTGAATTTTCTACAGATGAAAGGGAGCAAAGCTCAATCTACATCATGGTGAAGAAGTACTGAGTGGAATCTGAGCGAGGCACACCTTCACTGTCGGTTTTCACGAATTAAATCCTATACACAGCCTACGGGATGAACTGCACGCTGTATAGATATGTAAAAGACCGCTTAGTTTCAATAGTGATGTCTAGTCAGAGTCTATTTTGATAGGTCTCGCGGCAAAGACATAGCGTACCACTGTACATAGTTCACTACCCTTCAATTTCAAGCATGACCATTGCCGAAAGCGTCGGTTACATGGGGGGTGTCAATAGCAGTGGGACGACAATACTGTCTAAACATGTACAGCACACTTCAGCGTGTTACGCCAATCTTTGGCTCAAGACTCCCGCGGCGCAACGCTGCCCATGAGGGAGAGAGGATAGTCTACTTGCACTTCCCGTCAAGCAGATTAATATCCACACGCATTTTTCAATATTATGTTCCTAGGGTCATTAATGTAATTAATCATCTACACTTTTAGTGGTTCCTCACTTTGATGGGCAGGTGAGGACAGAAATTTGGGAGATTGTTGGAGCCAACAAGGTAGCTGAGCCTTGGCTGTTTTTTGAAGTGAGTGTATTGTTGCCAAGTTTGCAGCGCACAAGCAACTATACAACCAGTTCCCGGGCAAGCCGGCGGCGGAAGTTTCCGAAAAGAAGAAATTGACCTAAAGGAGCGCGCCAGTTCTTTCCACCATGCGTGTCCCTCGTGTCCCTCAGTCAGGCGCACGCGCTCCGGACTTTTGACCAACACAGCGCCGCCTGCGCAAGGTCTGCGCAAGATCAGCAGCTCGCAACAGCGTACTGGGTTGCGTCCATGCGAAAGCAAGATCAGCAGCCCACACCAGCGTGCTGAAGTTGAAACTAAAGCTAACTGGAGCTAGAGCTATTGAAACTAGAGCTAACTCGAGCTAGAGCTATTGAAACTAGAGCTAACTGGAGCTAGAGCTGTTGAAACTACAGCCAACTGGAGCTAGACGTTAACTATGGTGTGATAGCTTCTCTTAGCGGACAGCAATCGAAATGAGCACTTTTAAGTAAGCAAATTAGCTAAAATTTGTCAACCTCTCAAGAGAGCCGGGTGGCCGGGAGAGATGACTCAGCTGCAGCGGCGCCGGCGCAGCCGCGAGAGATGACTCAGCCGCGAGAGATGACTCATCCGCGCACTAAAGTTGCACTACAAAGTCGCCAGTTCTCATCTTCCAGCTCCCCAGATACTCCACGCACTAAAGTTGCACTACAAAGTCGCCAGTTCTCATCTTCCAGCTCCTCAGATACTCCGCGCACTAAAGTTGCACTACAAAGTCGTCAGTTCTCAGCTTCCAGCTCCCCAGATGCTCCGCGCACTAAAGTTGCACTGCAAAGTCGCCAGTCCTCAGCCTCCAGCTCCCCAGCCTACTCCGTGCACTAAAGTAGCACTACAAAGTCGCCAGTTCTCAGCTTCCAGCTCCGCGCACTAAAGTTGCGCCACAAAGTCGCCAGTTCCCAGCTTCCACCTCCACAGGTTACTCCGCATACTACAGTTGCACTACAAAGTCGCCAGTTCTCAGCTTCCAGCTCCCCAGGTTCCTCCGTGCACTACAGTTGCACTACAAAGTCGCCAGTTCTCAGCCTCCACCCCGCCAGAAAACTCCGCGCACTGAAGTTGCGCTACAAAGTTGCCAGTTCTCAGCTTCCAGCTCTCCGCATGCTGCGCCTGCCACGAAATCTGCACCTCGAGGTTCACAAAGTGCTGTGTCTGCCACGAAATCTGCACATGGAGGTTCACAAAGCGCTGTGCCTGCCACGAAATCTGCACATGGAGGTTCACAAAGCGCTGCGCTTGCCACGAAATCTGCGCATGGAGGTTCACGAAGTGCTGTGCCTGCACCTCGAGGTTCATGAAGTGCTGCACCTGCCACAAAATCTGCGCGTGGAGGTTCACAAAGTGCTGCGCCTGCCACGAAATCTGCACACAAAGTGCTGTGCACGCCACGAAATCTGCACATGGAGGTTCACAAAGCGCTGCGCCTGCCACGAAATCTGCGCTTCAAGAAACAAGTGAAAACTCTGAGCACAATGGAGGGCCAATTCCGACCATGATCCGAGCATGACCCGAGACCGCCTCGCACATGTCGTTCCGCAAAGCTTGACTTGCAAGCTTCGGACCCGCCCTTTCTATTGAATTACACCGCCGTAGACCCCAAACAGTTAAACTAGAGCTTGCGACGTCCAGAGCTGGGAGACAAATGTAAAGGATTGCAAGGCAGAGACGGACACAGCAGTACAGAGCGGGCGGACACATCTTAAGAAAGAATTGAGAAGCCCTAACAGTAAACCTTTTCGGGAATTATTCTTCAAGTGCGAACATGATGCTGGTCATGCTGCTCAATCAGCGGGCAGCTGACCACGTGAGGACAAGAAAAAAAACATGAGGAGCGAAGGATGTGACATGAAATTGATTTTTGGTGCCTGACGTATGCCCTCCGTCCCAACTGAACAGAGAGATCGCTGCCACGCCGCCGAAATCCAATCCGGTCATTCATCCAACGCTTGCCCGAAAAGGAAAACAAGCTGAGAGAGTTACACAGTGTGGCAGCAATGCAATCCCGGAGACAGTCACTCACCCCTTTCAAAGGAGCAAGAACCTTTCACACGCGAACCTGTTCCAGCGGACAGGGCAGAAAACAGCAGTGCAGGCACCAAACCTGAAAGACAAAAAGAAAGAAGTCACATGGGAGATAAATGAATAGAAATGCTACATGGCCAGCGGAAAAGGGCGGCAGCACCAGTGACAGACCCGGGAAACAAATGAATAGAAATGCTGCATGGCCAGCGGAAAAGGGCGGACGCAGTGACAGACCTGGAAAACAAATGAATAGAAATGTTGCATCGCCAGCGGAAAAAGGGCGGACACCAGCAGTGACAGACCTGGGAGACAAATGAATGGAAATGCTACATGGCCAACGGAAAAGGGCGGCCGGCCGGGAACCCGACCACAAGCACCCAGCCTGGGAGACACATGAAAAGAACTGGGAGACAAATGAAAAGAAGTGGGAGACAAGCCAGCCGCGAACCCGACCAGACCATCCAGCGCCAAGGCGACCATTCTTTAAAGCATTGAGAACCCCTAACAGTAAACTGTTTGGGGAAAAACATGGCATTTCGTGCGTCCGCTATCTCTCGAAAACGCATTTTGTATTGCGCCTGCCACGAAATCTGATCTGCACCTCGAGGTTCACAAAGCGCTGTGCCTGCCACGAAATCTGCACATGAAGGTTCACAAACTGGAGCTAGAGTTATTGAAACTAGAGCTAACTAGAGCTAGAGCTCTTGAAACTAGAGCTACCTGGAGCTAGAGCTAGAGCTAACTGGAGCTAGAGTTCTTGCAACTAGAGCTAACTGGAGCTAGAGCTCTTGAAACTAGAGCTAACTGGACGATGAGTGGTGTATGATGAGTGGTGTATGATGAGTGTTGTATGATGAGTGGTGTATGATGAGTGGTGT